CCATAGCACTCTACTGAGGGTAACAGTGAAACTCTGTCTCAAAAAAAGAAAAAAAATCGCTCAGCACCTGTAGCTCAAGTGGCTGAGGTACCAGCCACATACACCAGAGCTGGCAGGTTCAAATCCAGCCCAGGCCTGCCAAAAAACAATGACAACTACAACCAAAAAATAGCCAGGCGTGGCCGGCGCCTGTGGTCCCAGCTACTTGGGAGGCTAAGGCAAGAGACACGCTTGAGCCCAGGAGTTGGAGGTTACTGTGAGCAATGATGCCACGGCACTCTACCCAGGGGGATAGCTTGAGGCTCTGTCTCAAAAAAAAAAAAAATTGAATGCTATTGTCAAGAAGATAGTGCCAACAAAGTATCCCCAACTGAAGTGAGAGTTCCAGTTTTCCATGCCCTCTGCCAGATAAGAGCTTTATTATGATGAGGATTTTTATGTCTTGACTGGATTAACCTTATTTAGTGACTCCATCCTGATCATTAAATATCCCTTTGTCCCACCTGAGAGAACTATCACTTTATTATGTCTCGGCAGCATTAGGGATCCACAATCCACAATTTAGGAGCTACTCTCCAGACCGTACATACAGAAACAGTTTACACAAAGTTTGAAACATCTCCTATATTTCGTTGTACTTATTGACCCCTCCTTCAGTACCAAAGAAGAGAAACCTAGGACCCTTACACTATCCCTCTCTCTCAGCCCTCCCTATTCCAGCCTACAGTGGCCACATGTAGTTAATAAGAATTCAAGACAAGGCTGGTAATCCTAGCACTCTGGGAGGCCAAGGCAGATGGATTGCTTGAGCTCACGAGTTTGAGACCAGCCTGAGCAAAAGTGAGAACCCCATCTCTACTAAAAATAGAAAAACTGAGGCAAGAGGATCGCTTGAGCTCAAGAGTTGGAGGTTGCTGTGAGCTACAACGCTATGGCACTCTACCCAGGGTGACAGCTTGAGACTCTGTCTCAAAAAAAGAAAAAAAAAATTCAAGAAAACTAGTTAAGCTCAGCGTCTATGGCTCAAACAGCTAAGGTGCCAGCCACATACACCTGAGCTGGAGGGTTTGAATCCAGCCCAGGCCCAACAAACAATGATAGCTGCAACCAAAAAATAGCCGGGCATTGTGGTGGATGACTGTAGTCCCAACTACTTGGGAGGCAGAGGCAGGAGAATTGCTTGAACCCAAGAGTTGGAGGTTGCTGTGAGCTGTGATGCCAGAGCACTCTACCCAGGGCAACAGCTTGAGGCTCTGTCTCAAAAAAAAGGAAAAAAGAAACTACTTAAATTTGAGTTTCAGATAAATGACAAAATTTTTTAGTACAAGTATATCCCATGCAATATTTGGGACATACTTAAAAACAAAAACAAATTTGTTCATCTGAATTTTAAATTTAACTAGGCATCATGTATATTAACTGGTAAACCTACCCCAGTCCCCATCTAGCATTCTACTGTCAAGGATTTTTAAATAGTAGCCAAAGCTTCCTGCGCCCTCCCAGTCTTCAGGGTCCTGTGGCCCCTCACACCCAAGCTTGAGGTCTCCAGAGGCACCGCCCCACCCCCACAGACACACTCCCTTTTTGAAAATGGCCCTGCCAACTCCCCTGTGTTAGAATTCCTGCCTCCCCACACCAGCTGGGGTCAGTGTCCTGTTGGTCTTGCCCCTACAGACCATCTCCATGTTCCTTCCAACCCATTTTTCTGGTGGTGCAAACTGTTGCCCCAGCTGCCAGGGTGTGTTAGTTGGTGACCTCAGCCGGCAGCTCCCTCAGGCAGCACAGCTACCACAGAGCCATCTGCCCAGGGCACACCCACATCCAGTGCCTGCCTGACGCTGTGGTCTAAAGTCCTGACCATCCAGCAAATCCGCTCTGAAGGGCCATGCTGGCCCCAGAGCCCTGGGGGCCTCTGCCTGCTGGGACAGCACCAGAGCTCCTCTCCTCCCTCCATCCAAGGAGCTTCCCTCCTCCTTCCCTGCTCTCTACAGTGAGGCTCCACAGTTCGGCACCACTCCCCTCCTACCTGCCAGTCCCCCAAGTGGCTTCACCCACCCAGTCCCAGCCTTCTCCTCCAGTCCATTGTGCCCCTGGCTGGAAACCAGCCACAAAGTACCCACAGCAGGTAGGTCTGACAATGGCTAATGGGTTTCCTTCATTTGGCTTTCCAGTACATTCTAAATTCTCTGTGGCAAACATGTATTACTTTAGTAATAAGAAAAAATTATACAAGCCTTTTTTCTCCTTAAGAAAAATGTAAACCCAAAACAGAACAGCCCTCTTCCTATCTGGTACACTCACTCCTCTCCCAATCGTCCACCTGCTTTCCCAGGGAGAACCCTCCCAAATCAGTGAATGCCCCCACCCCTAATGTCTTCACTGTCCTTTCTCTCCCAGCAGGTCCACAGCCAGTTTGACTTCTCCAGCAAAGGCTTTCTGCCATCAACTTGGTCTTACTGGAGAGTACATGCAAATTTCTGAACAGGTTCCTCATTTCCTACTGGGAAAGGAAGAATGCTAAATATGTCCTGAGATGGGAAGATTGGTGAGGATGGGACCAAAAGTCACCACTCCACAAGTACAAGCTGGGGCTACTGTGCCAGGCCTTGGAGATGCAGCAAACAGGACACAGACTCTGCCCCCCATAGACTTCACAGCCTCGTGGGGTGATGACAATCAAAAGCCCAAGAGGACACTGTGTGACAGAGGTTCTAGGAAAGGCAAGAAGACTGGGGAAGAGGTTCATGGGGGGGGGGTTTTGAGCCCAAGCTGCTAAGGCTCCTGGGAGGAAGAGAAGTGTCTATGTGGGGGGGTTCCTGGGGTGAAAGGGAGTGGGCAGGAAGAAAGAGGAAGAGGAGGAGGCAGAGCAGCCCATGCAAGGGCCTGCAGGTGAGAGAAGCATGACTTGCTGGAGGAACTGAAAGCCCGTTCAGGGCAGCTGGGGGCAGAAGGAGGGTGAAAAGGGAGAGTCAACTCAGGCTCAGGGAGGGCGGCAGAACCACATTAGGAGACTGCATGGCTGTCAAAGGAGCAACAGGGCCAGGAAAAAGCTCTGCAATGTTGACATTCTCCACAGACACAGCCTATGGCTAGGCCAGAACCCTTGGTGACTGCCTCTTTCTCTGAGCTGGGTTTGCTCCTCCATGCAATGGGGTCATGAGACTTGACCAGAGTGGCTATGAGGACCCCAGAGGTTGAGGACAGCCTGGCTTGGGCCTTCTCAGCCTCCCTAATGCTGAGAGAGCTCAGGTCTGAGCTTAGTACCCAGGAGTAAAGTACCAACAACCCAGTGGCCTGAGGACGGCCAGGCCTTTACACAAGGCCACCATGCCTGGATTGGGCTTGGGCATTTAAACTAGGGCCCCAACAATACCCTCTGGAGTCAGTGAGATTGTGACACATCTTCAAAAGCCATAGCTGCCCATCAACTCCAGGTTAAGGAAAGGCCTAAATAGAACTGTGTGGTTTGGGTGGCTATTTGGACTAGGGGGTAGAAAGCCCAAGAAGGGACTCACCTCTCTCCTTCAGGTTGCCAGCTATTTCCAGAGTTCACATTCTTTCAATCATTCTTTCATTCCACAAATACATACTTGGTGCCAAACCCTGGTCAGGTGCAGGGGCAATGACAGAGATAAATCAAATGGGTTCCTAGCCTGAAAGTACTTCTGGCTTGGATGGTGACAAACAAGACACAAATAAATAAGCCACAAGGCCAGCTGGGTCCAGGAACATAGGACAGGAGGCAAGGAACTCACCTGGGCTATCAAGGCAGTTGCCTGGAGAGGGTGGCTTGAGACATGAGATGGAAAGGCCAGGAGGGGGACGAGCCCCCCAAATCACTGATAGTCCTGTTTGTACCCTAGCTCTGCCAGGGGCGGGGGCAGTGTGGGTTATTTATGGTTGTGCCTAGAAAAAAAAGCAGCCATATCTGTCACTGCCCATGTGGTACAGAGCTGGGCTGTTGGGGGTAGAGGACAGTTGGGGCTTGAAGCGGGGTCTGGCCAAGCCATGGGATTTGCCACTGTGTCCCCCAAATCTTGATGCCCTTTAACGTTTCCCAGGCCCCTGTAAAGTGAAAATAAGGGAGAGAGAGAGCTCCAATAAGCAGCAAGTGGCCCAGGGCTTGAAGAAGAGGGCAGTGACCAGCCCAGCAGCACCATCACTTCTGCTGAATCTGCAGGCCTTTCAGCATCACCTCCTTCTCACCTTCTATTCCCTCCCATCCCAGCTGTGGGGGAAGGAGCAGAAGGACAGAAGGAAATACCTTTAATCATAAACCAGACAGCCATCAGCTGCTGTGTTTCTCTCCATCCCACTCTGATCCATAAATAGCCTACGCACCAAGCTGCCACGAGCCCACCCACCCCTTCTGGTACCAGAACACCCCAGGCCCAGGCCCCAGGTTCCCCAGGAACCTATTTCCGGCGCTTTCCCGAGGGCAAAGCCTCTGCTCTCGGCTCCGTCCCCAAGGGACATCCTAGCAGTCCCAGGGTGATAACCTCAAACTCCCTGTCATCTGCAAAGCATCCCTGGGCGCTCGCCCACCTCTCTCCAGGTGACTGCACAATCCTTTCCGCACAACCCCTCTTCCCCCTCTTTGGCCCAGGAAGATGTCAGTCCCGGGGCCCACAGCCAACACTCACTCCTCGGACCTCGCGCCCCCCGACCCCCGCCCTCAATCCAAGGCCCAGACCCCCTACCTGGTGGCAGCAGCGCCGAGAGCACCTCCGGTGGGGCCAAGGGGCGAAGCTGGGCGTCCGGGGCCCGGGTCAAGCCCGGAAGACTTCCCGGGGGAGGAACGGGCTGGCGCTGCCGCTGCCACCGCGTCTCTCCGGGATCTCTCCGGGGCTGCGGGAAGGAGGAAGGTCAGAGCCGAGGCGGGAGGGGGGATGAGGGAGGAGGCGCACGGACGAGCGCAGATTAGAGAGGCATTTTTAGCAAGCCAATGGCAGCGCGGGCAGGGCGGCGCGGTGGCTGCGCAGGTGGAAGCGCCTCGGCTGTTGAGGAGGCAGCGACCCGCTAGGCAGGCGCGGGGGTGGGGGCGAAGGCTCAGCTTCCCCCGCTCTCGCAGCCACCCTGCCCCGCTGTCTGCTGCAGGGGCGGCTCGCGGCGGGGCGGAGCGCAGAGGGCCCTCCAGGGCGCCCTTCCTACCCAAGCCTCCCTGCAGGCAGGATCCGCACCGGGGTGGCGCTCCCGCCCCTCTTTACCATTTCCCCACTGCCTTGGCCTTTCCTCCTCTCCTCAACCTTGCGCCCATGTGGGGAGATATGTTTGAGATGTGTGCGTGAGCCGAGTTCTGGAGTGACGACCCCCGTCTTCAGCTTCGCCCAGAAGTGCCGTGTTGACCCCATCATGGGACAGAATCGCTAGACCTCATGTCCTAGTTACACCTGGACTTGCTATCACCAAAACAGACTCTAGGTTGTCTCCTTGGGGCTCTCTGGGAGCTTGGGAACCTAACAGGTGACCCCCAACGGCCTTCCCTCTTCCTGCCTTGAATCCTGAGTGCTTCGGACTGCCTGGACCATGAAAGGGGAGTGGGACACTGCAGGAGGGAGTGGGGCACCAGCCCACCATTCACTCAGAATTATGGAGGACCCACTACTGCCAATCATTGATGAGCCTACAGCAGATGATAAAACAGACCCAATCTCTGCCTCCGCATAGTTCACATAGGTGAAGGAAGACAGATATTAAATATAAATGGCAAGTGTGTATTTTAGAGCAGTGTGCACAAAGTAGAAAAATTAAGCCAGGGAAATGGAAAGAGTAGGTAGTGTCTGAATTTGAGTATGAGCCCCTCAAGTAGGCATGCAGGCTCCAGTTTGCCATAGACCTCACTTGCCCCTGTTGTTTGCACTCAGGATGATCCCATGTTTGTTTCCTGATGCCCTCTCTGTGCTGGGAAGAAAGCTTCAGCAGAGGCACTGAGCTTCATGACCCCAGTGACCCACAGGAATGTCTGAGTGCAGCGTTTATTCATTCAATAAGAATTCTATGAGCACTGGCTATACGTCAGGTGTTGGAGCCTGGCGAAACTCAACACCTTGTTGGGGAGACCAGATGGCAGTATTGACCTCAAGGCTCACCAGGACAGCCAAGTATGTGAACAATGCTCTGGAAAAGGTCAAAAAACTCTGGGTTACACACTTTTGGGAGGAGGGACACAATTATAAGAGGGATTTTATCTAACAAATGCAAGCAGTGTAACCTGCTTGTACCCTGAATGATTCCTCAACAATTAAAAAAATAAACCCTCCAGGTTAAGGCCATCCAGGAAGGCTTCTTAAAAGAGGTAGAAATCCAACAGGTGAACAATAGCTGGGATTCTGATGAGCCAGGAAAGAATTACTGGGACAGGTCAGCAAAACCAGGAGACATTTATCAAGTGCCTGGGGCTGAGGTCCTGAAGCATTGCTGGACACTGTCTGGGCTAAGGGTATGCTGATGAAGCCCCCACTCCCACTTATGCAGTTCCTGGTCCCCATTGCCCTTGCCTAACCTGGAATTTCCCAGTGACCCCAAGAGAAGTTTGATGAGCAAATTGGAGGTCATGGGAGGAAGGGCATAGACTTCACTCATTTGCTTGCTTACTAGGTGAAAATGGACTTAACCCCTAGGTGAAATGTTACTTAACCCCTCTGAGGTTCAGTCTTCTCCTCTCAATAGCTATGTGCAATAGCTATTGAGATCAATTGGTTCAGTGTCTGTGGCTCAAGTGGCTAAGGCACCAGCCACATACACCTAAGGTGGTGGGTTTGAATCCAGCATGGGCCCACCAAACAACAATGACGGCTGCAACCAAAAAATTGCCGGGCATTGTGGCGGGCGCCTGTAGTCCCAGCTACTTGGGAGGCAGAGGCAAGAGACTCACTTGAGCCCAGGAGCTGGAGGTTGCTGTGAGCTGTGATGCCACAGCACTCTACCCAGGGGGACAGCTTGAGGCTCTGTTTCAAAATAAAAAGGATCAATTGATCCTTGCCTCGGTTCCCTGGCTTGGAAAATGGGCATAGCAACAGCACCTACCTCATAAGACACTCTAAGTGAACTGTTTAGCACACAAGTACTCAGTTAACTTTGTTAAATTTATGATACTGACGATGACAAACACTTGGCTCATAGAAACAAAGACTGTAAGGCACCTAGCATAGTGTCTGGAACCTAGTAGGTGTGTAAAATGGTATTACCATTATCATTAACTACATGCATCCCCAAATCCCTCCCCTTTTGGTCTACCACAACAGTGTGAAATTCCCTACCTTTGACAGAACTTTCTTAATGTAAAGAGGCTAATTCCCCAAGAGGCTCTTGAAGTGCAATCCAGGATGAATACAGGGGAAAGAAAATATGCTCCTCCCCTACTAATACATTAACCTCGTACAGCATGTCATTGGAAGCTTTGAGGTAGATGGAATGGAACCCAGGACTGGTTAAGTTTTGAAAGGGCAGTGAAGTCCACAGCATGGGACACTGACTGATAGAGGACATTTGTTGTTCCTTGGCAGCCAGGCATTTGGTGGAGGATGGCAAAAACAGGAAGAGGCACTCACAGGGGATGAGGTTCTACTGCCAGGTGCTGAAGCCTCTTGGGGCAGTGTGAGAGGGTAATAGTTGGGCAGACCTGATTAAGCAGATGAAGGGGAAGGGAAGAGGTTGGTGGGGAGAGGGTATACAGGGGAAGACAAGCTGGGCTTATTCCATTGGGAATTGAGGTATGCCTGGAACTGAATTCAGACCTTAGCAACCCAAAGCTGCTGAAAAAATGAGAACAGAACACACACACCTGCCCTATGTAATCCAAAATAAAATGTTATTTTAGGAATTGACACAACTTTCATGATTCCTAAAATTAAACTAGTCTCCGTTTAGATTTCCTGACCTCTGTTCATCAAACAAGAATTTTCTCTCTGTGTCTCCTATCTCCTCTCTCTTGTTGTTTGGTACCCCTGCCCAAAGAATAAGATTTTCTCCATTTTGCACAGTACTTTTCAAAGCACTTTTCATATCTTTTATTTCCCCAACAATGCACTTTTTTCAGTCCCATTAAGAACTGACCAGGTTGGGCATGGTGGCTCTTGCCTCTAATCCCAGCACTTTGGGAGGAGAAGGTGGGAGGACTGCTTGAGCTCAGGAGTTCAAATACAGCCTGGGCAATATAGTGAGAACCTGTCTCTACAAAAATTAGAAAAATTGTGGCTCAAGGAGTAGGGTGCTGGCCCCATATACCAGGGGTGGCAGGTTCAAGCCCAGCCCCAGCCAAAACTGCAAAAAAAAAAAAAAAAAAAATTAGGTTCAATGCCTGTAGCTCAGTGAGCAGGGCACCAGCCACATACAGTGAAGCTGGCTGGTTTGAGCCCAGCCTGGGCCTGCTAAACAACAATGACAACTGCAACAACAACAAAAATAGCCAGGCGTTGTGGCAGGCACCTGTATTGCCAGCTACTTGGGAGGCTGAGGCAAGAGAATCACTTAAGCCCAAGAGTTTGAGGTTGCTGTGAGCTGT